GCCTGTGTAGACGCTGCACCCCACTGCGCGGGGGGCCCGGGTGTTCGCAGGTAAGCAGAGCAGGACAGAGACTCCAAGAAGACCCATCCCGTCAAGCGCTTGCACGCGGGGCTGCACACCTTCCAGAGAAGGGGAGTGAAGCCAGCAATGCCAGGGAACACAAGGAACGGGGGCCTCGGTATCAGGAACATGCAGGTAATTCTGTATACTCTGCTACGGACGTTACGCTTGTCAGATAAATAGCTTGTAAAGAAATAAAGGTGCTGGTGTAAGGGGGGAGGAGCTGGGGTGCAGGGAGGGGCAAGGCAGGAGGGAGCTGGGGGTCTGCAGAGGATGGGCAGGCAGGGTCCATGGGAGCCTTGGGGGGTGTCCCCCGGCTGTCGAGGTCCCATCCCCCCTTACTGCTGTCCAGACTGCTTCTAGCCAGGGAGGAGTGGGCAGCTGGGGCTCCCCCACACCCCTGCCAGGTCCCAGCACCCTGCCCCTTCATTAGCACACCTCTGGGACCTCCCCCAAGGGCCTCCTCCCAGCTGCCGAGGGTCCCGGCTTTCCAGGGCCTTGCTGGTCTCTTCCTGCCCACCTCCCCTTGTCCAAGATGCCCTTTGGCTCAGGGTGCGCAGAGGCCCCTTGGTGGTGTCTACTCCCCGGGGGAGCACAGAACCCCTCCCCGACCCCGACACAGGGCTCTGCAGCCTGGGGCCCAGATGTATGTCCACCCTTTCATTCCCCAAAATACCTGAGCATGTAGAGTCCTTGCTGACCTGGGCACTGACAGGCTGCCATGCTCAGAGATGGTCATTCAGCAGATGCCACTGGGCAGAGGGGCCTTGGCTGTTCCTGGGGAGTGGACCGGGCTGGAGCATGCACGTGGGGGATGGGGTGGGGTGGGGCGGTGTGAGCCGCAACTCCTCTTGGCACCTGCCCGGCCCACCTCAGGGCCTTTCAGACAGCCCCTGGTCACTCCTCCATCAAGGGTAGGGGTGGGGTGAGGGGGTGAGGTCTGCCACGTGGCCCCGGGGGGGGGGGTTGCTGGGGAGGGGTGGTGGGTGGGATTTGCTCTGGCCCCTCCTCCTCTGAGCAGGCACAACTCTGTGGCGCCCCGGGGCCTGGGCTCCAGGGTCCTGGTGACTGCACATCTTCCCTTACCCCGTGAGCCCTGCAGCTGCAAGTTACATCTGCGTCACCTCAGTGGCCCCTTTCCTTGTTGGTCTCACAGACCCCTGGGTCAGCAGTCCCTGAACCGGACACCGCTGTGGTGCCTCATCACGCAACAGGTTGAGAACTGTGGGAACAAAGCAAGGGCCCTCTGCCAGAGGCTGCCCCCAGAGAGCCCAGCCCAGAGCGGTCATGGTTGGGGCAGCGGCAGCTCAGGGACCTCTGATTTCCACTTCACTGATAGGGTCTTAGAGGACTCAGGGCTCCTTTGCCCACGGAGTGGGAATCCAAGCTCCCACCTGTCCCCTCCCCCCTCCCCCCAAGGAGCCATGTTTGGAGGACACCAGCTGGCCCTGGCCAGCCCTCCCCAGGGGCCCCCCCTGCCCCGACCCCGCTTCCCCCAACATATTGGTCCCCTCCAGCAGACTCTTGCTGAAGCTCCTCAAGTTTATGGTTTATTGCCCACCCCTCCTGCGGGGTGCCCTGCATTCCCATGGTCCTCCCAGGGCAGCCCTGGCACATGGTAGGTGCCGAATAAATACATGATGAATGCATAAAGGTCTATACCAAATAGCATGTTCTCCACCTTCCCTCCCACAACCTGTAAGTTTGCAGGGAAAGTGGCGTCTTCCTTTGCAGGATGTTTTCTTCAAGACCGGGAGATGGCATTCTCCAACCTCTCAGCTCTGGCCCAGGAAATCCACCCAACGCTGGGAGCCCAGAGGCGCTCCTTCCCCTCAGGCCGCCCACTGGACTTTCCCCGGACCTTCCCAGGAGGAGGGGCAGCGCCTGGGGGCACCGAAGGGGGTGCGGGTGGAAGCCCCGGATAGCCCTGGGTGGAGGGGGGGGCAGGTCAGAGGCGGCGGGTAGGGAGTCTTCATACTCGGGACCCCGACACTGAGGGGAGGGATACCCGAGGCGCGGGCCCAAGAGGGTGGGGACTGTCCCGGGCGCTGGCTTGGGAACCTCGAGCACCTGGCAAGGGGGGCGCCGGGGTAGCGCGCCGAGAATTCCACGCCCGCACCCCTCTCTCCTGGAGCGCACGCTCACTCCCACCCCCGTTCCGCAGCCACAGCCACTGACTCCCCTCGGGGCCGCGCACGCTGAGGCCAAAGGAGACCGCAGCCGCACTAGAGACCCCAAGCGTTCCAGCCGGAGCCCAGAGAGGGCCGGGCGACGTGGACAGACCCGGGGTCGCTGGGGCTCAGGACAGCGACTAGGGGGCTCTTTTTCCTCGGCGGTAAAAAAGCGCTGGGAGTCTCCCGCCTAAAGCGCAGCTCCTCAAGCCACGCGCGTTCTCCTGCCTCTGAGCCAGAGCGGCCCGCACCCTTTGGGAGGACAGTGTGCCCCTGTCGTCCCGCCCAGGCGCGCCCCTCCTGTCCCCGGTCGCCCCCGCCCACAGTCGGGTGGGCAGAGCAAAGAGGGGGTCCGGAGGAGGGACGCGACCCCGCCCCCCACTCGGCCCCGCCCACTCGGTTCCACCCCCACCGGAGCCCCAGCCTTGGCCGCCTAGCCTCCGCCGGGGGTGGGGGGTTTGGGGAGCCCAGAGGGGCCCCGATCCTGCGGGGAGAGTGTCCCCGCGCCCAGGCTGTCGGGGCGCACACACACTATTTGCTCCGAGGAAGTGGGGCGTGTTCTAAGCGAGGCCGAGGCGGGTCTCCGGACCTGGGGACCCGCCGCCCGACGCAGAGCGGGAATCCCGGAGGGGCGCGGCCGTGTCCTGGGGGCCAGGCTCCGCTGGCACAGAGCACCTGCGGGGGCATCCACACCCGGATCGGCGAGTGCCGCCCGGCCGAGGAAGCGGGGAGAGAGGAACCGCACCGCACACGACGCTGAGGCCCCTAGCGTCCCGCAGCCTCCCCCCGCAGCACCGTGCGCGCGCGCCCAAGCCAGGGGCGACCACCGAAGGCCCGCCCAGCCCCGCCGGCCAGTGGCTCTCGGAGCCGCGATACGGTTCAGGGACCCTCGGAGCCAAGACCCCGCCGCTAACTGCCCAAAACGAAAACGGACCCCCGAAGGACACGGTGCAAGCGGACGCCGGGTCCCTGTACAGAGCCAGGAGGCTCGCCTCCATTCACACCATCCAAACCCTGGCGGCCGGGGTGAAACGCGAAAGTCGTTGCTAAGGAACCGCACCAGGCCTGAGAGAGGCCGGGGCCTGGCGCAGGCCGCCCACCCCTGGCCACGAAATGGCCGTCCGTTCGCTCTCGTTCGGGTCATGGCTCCGAGCAGGCAGCGAATACCAGTAAGAGCCAACTCTTAGGATTTAATGTGACACCCCACCCAGAAGGAAGGCGACAACGCCCAGCATTTTACTCAGCACCTGCTCTCCGCGGGCGCCCAGGGTCCACTGCGATCTAATTTGAATCCCACAGCGACGCTACGGGCTGGGGGGCTTTTCGTACCAGAAGGGGACACCTGGGGCCCCACGTGCCCCTGTGAAGGCCGCCCTCCTGCCCACTGCGCTTGGGGAGCGCACCCACGTCTAGGCCCGGCATGTGGCCCCCACGCGCCCTGGGCTCTGGAGCTCTGAGCCGGCTTGGTCCCCGTTCTCCTGGCTCGGGCTGCGCTTCACGAGACAGCGGCCCGTGGGCTTGGTCGTGGGGTCCGGGTCGAAGCCCGAGGCTCAGGCTGCCTCCCGAGAACCAAGCTGCGACTTCGCGACCAGGAAACGCCGGACCGGGAGGTCCGGACGGTCCCCGCGCCCCGACCCGGCAGAGGGCAGTGCCGCGGGCTGGGAGGGGACCGGGAACTGCCCGCCTGGCAGCGCCCGCGAGTCGCCGGCCTAGCGCGTGTCCCCGGGACGGGTCTCGCCACCGCGCCAGCAGTGTGTTGGTGAAAGCAGGGTAGATTCGCGTTGGCCCTTCGGCGCGTGGACTACCGTGGACTCTACGAGGTCCAGCGTCCCCCGCCCGTCTGCGACACAGAGAACGTTACCCCCAAATGTTCGCGGTACTCCTCGACACCTGAGCCCGGGGTGGCCGGAAGCCGCGGGGACGGCGTTGGAGGCCCTGGTCGGGCTCCACGACCGTGCCGGCTGGCTCCCCGCCGCCGCGCACCTGGGGCTCTTCACCGAATGGGGCGCACAGAGCGTGCTGAGCGGATCCTCAAATCTGCATTCTTTCGGGCGATAAAATATGTTCTCGTATTTTTTCCTGATTTCCCATTAAAACCTTTGCCTAACTAAACTCCCATCCAACGGGATTTATTTCATCCCGGGGGAGATAAATCAGGGGGCAAATTTACAGCCGGGGAGGCACCTGCCTCGCTAATGGGCCCTTCATGGAGTGCGCGGCCGGCGGGGGCGCGCAGACGGGCGGGGCGCTGGCCAATGGCCGGGCCGCGGGCGCCAGCAGCCAATCAGCGCGCGCGCCGCGCGGGGGCCCCCGCGGTTATCAG